CCTGTTTAGTCAGATGAAATCCCATCCTTTGTGTCTGCTCAGGGATAAGGAAATGCTGTAAAAACCCTGCTAGGGAGGAGCTGGATCCTTTGGTCAAGGTAGGTCGGTGAAGCTGTTTAGGCTGGGGGCTTAGGGAACCGGATTTAATTTCCCCGCTCGTGCCGTAGATTTGATTTTTGGGGTAAGTTGGTCAGGTTGTGAAACGGGACGGAGCTTCCCGGCTCGGAGAAGCACCGCGATATCCGAAGGGAGCTTAGAGAAGCAGGAGGGCTGGAAAGAAACCCGGGGTGGGGGGGTCCTTGCTGCCCGTCCTGCCCATCAGCAGCGTAAATTTGGTGCCGGGACGTGGCCCCGCGTACGCCGGGGCGGGTGGACGGAGAAGCGGCTTTTCCGTCCCCAAAAAATAAGCAGCGTAAATTGATTCCCCTCACCCCAGCTTTATCGCGTTGCCGGTGTTTGCTTTGAAGCTGGATAAATCGGAGCGGACAATACTTAAAAGAATCCAACCTGTAATTTTAATTAATACTTAAAACCTTGTTAAAACCAGTCGTAGGAAACAGTAATTAAAATAAAGAGCGGGGGAAACGGCGTTGGTCTGCTGTGGTTCTGCCCAAGCCTGTTCCGGTGTGATTTATTGATTTTATTTTGGGGGAAAAAATAGCTAATTTGGGGGTTTTTGTATAAACCAGAGGTTTCTCAGTAGTTGGCCGCTGCTCGACTCTGCGGCGGCTCTAGGTTGGTTGGGCTGCCGCCTAAACTCGTTGAGGGAAATTCTCTTTAATCAGGGGGTGTCCTCGAGTAGTGCCCTGAAATCCAACCTGCTTTAAACACTTAGGTGCTTTAACGATTCAGGAGGAGATCAGTCAAATCAAACGCAAATTGCAGGCGGGCAAGAAAACTCAAGAGAGGCAAAAGAAGAGGCATCGGGATCGCATGGTGGAAAGGTAACGTCTCTTTTTATTTTTTTTTTAACTTTTTTTTTTATTTACTTTTTTATTATTTATTTGTTTTTATTATTTTACTCTGCTCTTCTTTTTTCCTCCTCTTCTCTGCCTTTTTCCTCCTCTTCTCTTCTTTTTTCCTCCTCTTCTCTTCTTTTTTCCTCCTCTTCTCTTCTTTTTTCCTCCTCTTCTCTTCTTTTTTCCTCCTCTTCTCTTCTTTTTTCCTCCTCTTCTCTTCTTTTTTCCTCCTCTTCTCTTCTTTTTTCCTCCTCTTCTCTTCTTTTTTCCTCCTCTTCTCTTCTTTTTTCCTCCTCTTCTCTTCTTTTTTCCTCCTCTTCTCTTCTTTTTTCCTCCTCTTCTCTTCTTTTTTCCTCCTCTTCTCTTCTTTTTTCCTCCTCTTCTCTTCTTTTTTCCTCCTCTTCTCTTCTTTTTTCCTCCTCTTCTCTTCTTTTTTCCTCCTCTTCTCTTCTTTTTTCCTCCTCTTCTCTTCTTTTTTCCTCCTCTTCTCTTCTTTTTTCCTCCTCTTCTCTTCTTTTTTCCTCCTCTCTTATTTTACTTTTTGTCACATTGCTTCCTTCTCTGGCAGAACTGTACCCACCCCGGGGCCGGGGCTTTGCCCCTTGCACACGTGCCACCCCCCCAGGGCTGGTTCCTTGTAGAAGCTCCTTGCTCTCCCACCAGTCTTCTGGCAGTCCGTGCTAAAAAGCTAAATAAAACCTGGGGAAAAAAAGCCAAACCTCTGGGAAACATCCCGTAAATGCCAAAAGGCTCGGAGACTTCCATGAGTTTTATCTGCCCCCCCCTTAAATAGAGCAAGGGAGTGGATGCGGCGGGAAAGTGCTACCCAATGGAGCTGGAATGGATTGGTTTGACTATCTTGTCCTCTCGCCTCTGACTCTTTCAACAGGATCCAGTTTGTTTGTTCGTTATGCAAATATCGGACCTTCTACGATGATGAGATGAACAGTCACCTGGAGAGCAAATTCCATAAGGAACACTTCAAGTTTGTTGGAACCAAGTTGCCTCAACAAACAGCGGATTTTCTCCAGGTGAGCTTCTGGCTGTTTCTGCCCCCGAAGCTTAAAAATTTGGGGTTGGATTATTATTATTATTATAATACCAGAATCCTGGCCTGGCCAGGGTTGGAAGGGCCCTCGGAGCTCACCCAGTGCCACCCCCCCACCCAAGCAGGGTCACCCAGAGCAGGGGGCACAGGACAGCGTCCAGGCGGGGGTTGAAGATCTCCAGAGAAGGAGACTCCACAGCCCCCCTGGGCAGCCTGGGCCAGGGCTCGGGCACCCTCCCAGGCAAGAAGTTCTTCCTCCCGTTCACCTGGAACCTCTTCTGCTTCAGGCTGTGCCCATGGCCCCTTGGCCTGGCGCAGAGGGGGAGGAGAACCTCCCTCGCCCTGCTGGCCACGCTCCTCTTGATGCGCCCCAGGACGCCCTTGGCCTTCTTGGCCACCAGGGCACCCTGCTGGCTCATGGCCACCTTGTCGGCCACCAGGACCCCCAGGTCCCTCTGGGCAGAGCTGCTTCCCAGCAGGGCAGCCCCCAGCCTGGACTGGTGCCTGGGGTCCAACCTCCCCAGGGGCAGCCCCCAACACTTGACCCTGGTGGAACCTCATCAGGTTCCTCTGCGCGCAACGCTCTGGCCTGGCCAGGTCCCGCTGGACGGCAGCGCAGCCTCCCGGCGGATCGGCCGCTCCTCCCAGTTTGGTGTCATCAGCGAACTTGCTTCTTTTGACCGGGTCGCTTAACCTCTACTCTTACTGGTTGCGCTGGTAGAAAATAAAATACTTGCCTCCCCGCAGCTTTTGGTGATTTGAGTGCTGAAAGGCAGCGCTATCTGCAGGATGATGCCTGGTGGGATTTGTAGGACCTTTAGGATGAGTGTGTGTGGGGGGGAAGATCCATACCAAATATTTTGCCGTCCAGGAATACGTTGCTAATAAAACTCGGAAAACTGAAGAGCGCCGTAAAGCCATTGAGGACATCAACGCGGTTATTCAGCAGATCTATAGGGACCAGGACCTTACGCAAGGTAAGGTTTCCTACCCGCGGGAGTTCCTTCCTCGCGCGCGTCGGCTGCCTTGTCAGCAAATAAATAATCAAATAGTGGGAAAAAATAGGGAAAAGTGGAAGCTGCAGGTGTGCCTGAAGGGGAAAACTGAAATGAAGGGGGGGCTTGTGGGGCTTGGGGAAGGAGGGGGGCTCGTGAGCCTTGGGAGGCTCGTTGGGGCT